GGGCCAACAAAATCCAGTCTCCTTCAACTCCTATCGCCCATAGATCCCGCCTGAGATTATTCTCCCATCTACGTCTAGGTCTCCCCAGCGGTCTCTTCCCCTCTGGCTTCCCGACCATTGCCCGCTGCACGCCTCTTGCCCCATCCATGCGCGCCAATCTCATTCTCCTCGACTTAATCACCATGACAATACAATTTTCATGTTCCTAGAAATCAAATATCTGTGGATCTCTGTTTAGGCTGAGGAAGAGGCTCGTTCTCTGCAAAAGAAGATCCAACAGATTGAGAATGATCTAGATCAGACCATGGAGCAGCTGATGCAGGTGAACGCAAAGTTGGACGAGAAGGACAAAGCCCTGCAGAACGTAAGTCGCCACAATACCATTCTCTCTCTCATCTTACTCCCTCTGTCGACGGTGAAGTAAAATACTGTACGCGCAAGTTATCTTGAGAGTCGCCTTTCTAGATGCAACGAAATCTGTCGCTCGAACAAGCGTTTTACTGACTGTTAAGAAAACATCCGTGGAACATACCGTTATTATGAATGATTTCCTTCTCCTTGGTATGATTTGCTTTGTTGAACCTGCTTGTACTGTCGGCCATTGCCGAAGTGTGTCTCCACACGTCGCAGTCGTACAGAAGCCATCACTCGTTCAGACCCTCCTTCCCGCTCGCCCTTCTTTGGCCGGCCAAGATAACTTGCTCGTACAGTAAAACTGCCCCGCAATGCCCCACGCTTCTTCACATCGGCAATATGTAGATGGAGTGAGTGGTCATCGCCACAGCCCCTGTGGATAGGATGCGGGGTGAGCTACAGAGCCGGTCTGGACGCAAAGGCTAGAAGATTAACTCTTTTCCTCTCTCGGGGATTGAACCCCGGTTATCCAGCCCGCAGCCAGACATCACATTGACTGAGGTAGGCCCATATTAGATTTCTTATAATAATAATACATGAACTGAGTTGCAGATAACATTTGAAATATTCGTTGAAAAACCAGGCTGATAGTCTGCGTAACGTAAGATTCGACAGTGTAGTGAATAAGCCTATGATGGGATGGGCACGAAGCTATGACGAGAAGAAAAAGAATGCATACAGAATTTTTGAATGGTTATCACACTCCAGCAGATCTCTCCTGGAGTCGAACGGTTTATATGAAGAACTAAGTCTTCGAATCGCTTTTACCTAAGAAATGGCTGTCGGAATTTTGCGCCGTGTTGTCATCGCAGAAGACAGCCAACTACTCGCCTTAAGAATCTGAAATACCACGCATTCTTTTCTGTTGTTACCTTATCGCAAACTGTAATTCCATATCGAATGATAAGCCAATGTTACATTAAAACAGTGAAAGAATTTAACTGGAAAAACAAAGAAAGATAAAGTGAAAGAAATTTTTTAAAGAAGATGCGCTTGTCATTTACAGTGAAAAGTTTCCATGGTCTACACATTTTTGGTAAAGCCCCCCCTCCCCCATCCATTCCACTTCCTCCCACCCTCGTTCATTAAGATTAATTTTAATATTATTCCTGTATAAGATTTCGTTGTTAACCTCCTCCTAACCCTCAACATGAAGGACTGTCTGTGACTAGTTATTCAGTATATTCACAGCAATTCTGTAAACCTGGAAGCCTTTCCCTCCCCCCGCAACCAGTTGACGCGTCATGCCGTGATGACAAGACGGACAGGCTTAAGGTGCATACAAACGACATACTAAACTTTATAATCTATCATGTCAGTCTTGTCTCCAGGTTCGTATGGAGGCGAATGGCGATGTTTCTAAATAGAAAATTATTAGGTCTACATGTTTGATACAACTGTGTTGTTGGATTTTAAAAAACGCAGCCGGCCTGACTGTGAACGTAAAGCTGCCCCTTTATAAGCCATATAGGCGCTTTGGGGGGAGAGAGAACTGCAATCTTGAGACTTGCAAGGAATGCAGGAAGTCCGAAGCGTTGAAGGCAGACGCCATCTTTCCTCCTTCACCCCACTTCCTCAACCCGCAAGTCTCAAGATTACAGTCTTACACTGTAGCTGCTACTCATTCTCAACCCCGGCACTAGGTAGGGACAAGTGATCAGCGTCACGCCCCGTCGCGTTTTGCCCCCGGGAAAGGATCCCGGTACCCATTGGACATGAGTCTGGGTGGGCCCCAGAGCCGATCTGGACGCAGAGGCTAGAGGTAAAAAGCCCTCTGCCTCAGTCAGGGATCGAACTCCGGCCGTCCAGTCCGTTCTAAGTGTCAGTGTCATGCAGGAATCAAGTTTGGTGGAGAAAATAGAATGGATACAGCTGACTGGTACACTGCGCATGTATTCCTCCGCTGAGTTACCGACAGCAGAGCACATTAATTCTTCCTCACAAACATCTTTCATTTCTCAAGGATACTCAACGCTCCTTCTCAATTAAACTACACCAACAAAAATATTTGTTTCACAGAAGAAATTGTGGACCTTTGATCTATTTTGACCCCACCCCCTATCCTGCATTTACAGGATTTTGACTTAAATCCATCAGATGTGATATGTAGGCCTTTCATGTCTGAAATCACTGATAATTATTTTAAAGGGGATCTTAAAAATATAGTGTGGACTACATTCGCCCGGGGACTGTAGGGTCAAGTGGCCAGTTGTTGTGAAGGCCGTCATGAACTTTTGCTTGCATAAAAGCCGGAAAACTTTTTTTCCACCTAAGCTACTATTATCTACTCAAGGAGGGTTCTGTTTCTCGGAGTTGTTTGGTGTTTGGTTGAGTACTGCAACAATAGTCAATTCCATTTACACCCAAACTTTTTTCTGGCGCCACCTTTGAAATTCAAAAAAAATATTTCGCGCATCATACATTGTTTTACATTAATCATCGTAGACGGAGATACAGAGGGCATTTTTTTGTATGAGTAAAATGTTACATGTATTTATTTATCATTTATTTGACCACAGTTTTTCCTTATGGATTTCCAAGGAAATCTTGCTGCTTAGAGAGCGTAAAACTAAGAGTTCTTAACACGGTGGGAAGGATGGGCCCGCGTGTTTGAAACTAGGTGAATGGTTGAATCGCCTGTACAGAAAATGCCACTTTGAGGTTCAATGCGGTTACAGTACTTAGATTTAGTTGCAGCCATAGCTAAAAATGTTTTTTTTCACACACATATGTCGTTCTAAAAAGTAGACTAGTAAAAGAGTTCCGAGTGGTCTTTTTTATAAATCCAAAATCCAGGAAGAGACGAAGCTTCAAACTTGATCTTGAGAGATGTTATCACAGGAAAGTTCCATCAAAGATTGTTTGGCTGTTATTAAGTGCCTATGCAAATTTCTTGCATTGAAACTACTGTCTGCGAGAACCTCGCCACCCACAATACACTGGGGGCGCTCTTCCCGTTTCCAAGTCGATAAGTAGAACCGAATGTCTGGAAAGTTGTTCGATATTTTCTCCCACCTATTTTTTTCCACCGGAGAACCTTCTACCTCAGGACTGGTTGCGCCCATTATATCGATATCCTTTAACATTTTCGATTGCTTTAAAAGTCACGAATCCATTTTTACACAAAGCACGTCTTGCCGTGTCAGGGTTTACTAATGAACTGAAGCCACATTCGTTTGTAATATTCAGAGCTTTAACACGTGCGGTTTGCGTTTCTTTGCCCCTGTTTAATTTAAGCCACCAACAATGCTAGGGTTTCAGTTTAATTGAAAATAACACGTCTAACAAATAGTTCTAAGACTGCCTAATCTTAGACATCTTGACTGCATAATTACTGCAAACCGAACTGATTTTTACGAAATATTTATGATGAGTAAGTACACAGACAATTTTATCAGTTGGTAGTTCAGGTTTGGAGGATTTCCATAATTTTAACGAGCACAACATCGGTCCGCGCTACTTGGTTTGGTAACAACTCGTCTATTTTATTCAGATTCAGAAGAAACAATATTATGTGGTCATTGACAACAAGAATTTTTTTGGAGACTGACGCTACATTATTGTCGAATGACTCACTGCAATGAACAATGATTCATATTTCTGAATTATAATTTTTATATCTTACTGATACGAATTTATGCATTGAATTAAATAAGTAATACGTTCTAGGCAGAAGTTAAATATACTTTCCTGTTGTACAGACTTTCAATTCTACCTAAATATTGTGTTGTCTGTGTTATATTCGGTTAAAATAAAAGTGTAACCCAAAAATAAAATGAATTTTAACTTTCGGGATTTACTGAGCTCATGCATAGATCGACACAAAAACTGAGTCCTGCTCGAATCACACTTATTTTATTGCTCGCAGCTGTAGACAGAATTTATTATTGGGAAAATATTATTATCATCGTCGTCGTATAACTTCTGAAATGCCCTAATGGCGGAGGCTGTAAGGAAACGTTGGTAAATTTATATCAGACTAAACGGCGCTACAACCCAGAAGACAGTCGTCAACGGAAAATTTGTTGGATATAACTTTGAAGTCTCTATCGCCGTGTTTATGTGTATTGGTATCTAAGTAATTTTCCGGAGAGACCGAGGAATATATGAAAAATGTCAGTCAGGTTGTCCATTGTGGAGATTTGAAATGCGGACATTCCGAAAATGAAGCGAACATGCATGACACGAGATTCTGCTTTTGATGTTTTCGCCTACAGTATCCCCGAAAAAGGCCAAATCAAGGGCCCGTATATTCAGAGTTTTACGGAAGAAGTATGATTTCACTTGCGTTGGAGAAGCATGAATAGGGTTGTGAGTAATGTAATCTTGGACTAATTTTAGATCACCCGGGCTTGCTTCTTTAAAAATAGATCAGTTCACTGTGTTCGCTCCGTCACGTGGCCAAATATGGACCACAGAAAGAGATGCTGCCAGCATCCCCTTAGTAATGACGTAGTGAGGAGAAATGTAGAGGGGTTGTAGACTAACTTTCCAGCCAAATCCTAAAAAAATGATATAGTGTCAGCTGGAAGAGCTGAAGCAGTTTGCATGCTAGGTTTTGATTCGGACGGTGTCGTGCGAAAATCAAAGGAACTAGAGCAATGATTGTAATGCGCAGGCGTGAGAAGTGTACTTCAAAAATAACAGTACCAACGTCTTATTGGAAATCTAGTCGCGCTCGAGGGAAGACGACAAACAATTCACACGGCAACCGCTGTGCGCCAGTGCGCTCACGGCCAGTCAGGCTTTCGTCTGTTGGTGGGAAGCACGGCCGTGTGGCGGCGCTCACATCAGTGACCGCACGGCCGGCAGTTCAAGATGGCAGGGATTGTGTGTTGGCGGTGGTAACGAGTATGGCAGAAAATAACACGGGGAAAGGTGGTATACGGACAACATTGTCGTCTTCCAAGGGTCGTGGCATCACTCCCTCAGCAAGAGGTCGTCATCAACCACTATCTCAACTGCAAACTGCCACAAATAATGCTACAACGAGTGACAATATTACAACACATGATACAAGAAACAAAACAAAACGAAAGGCACTTCGACGCAATGAAAATTTTGCATGTGTGGAAACTGGTGCGCAGCAAACTTTAAGTGGCATTGTTGACAGTGACGATATTAGTACAAGTGCACGGCCAGCAGCAGAGGGAAGCAGTCACAGTGACCACGAAGAAACCGTAGATGCAGACCCCGAAACAGAGGAGCTCGCTAAGCTCCGATGCCCGAGCGAAAGGACTGAGGTTATTGCTGAGAGGGAAGCAAGACGAAGACAGAGAAGATGTGCCGACTATCCCGGATTTGCCTTTGGTTCTTCAATATTTGGTTCCGATACGATTATGAAATTCAACATCATCCGAAACGAACTTCAAAATATTAAAAACTCTCAGCTTAAAAGGGTCAGTACACTTGGTTTTCCTATATCAATGATTTTTAGCATCACTGATCAGCTGATGTGCATTCTGTGCGGCTTAGCAGTACTTCTTTCAGATGACATATTTGTCTCGTGTCGTAACGTTTCTCACGTGACTGGTAGAGGAGGAGCGTCTCTCATTTCCGTGACGTCACATCTCGTTGATTGTACTCTGTCGTCGAGTTATATAAATTATTTTTGAGATATATTTGTCTTGCGTGCAGAGTAAAGTGAACTGGAATCTTGGTTCCTTGTTGTGGATTTGTTACCGGTGACAATAAATTGTATTTTTCTTGCACATTTTAGGTACATGTGCTTTGTAGTCCATTGTGGTATTCAGTTTTTGATATGTCTGTACACGCGGGCGGTGGGGTGTTTAGGACGAAAACACATTGCTCCAATGCTCTCGCGTTTATTAGTACCTAACAAATCGTCCGTAGCGAAATGGAAAGATAGGAATTTATAATCCGACTCTGACAGAGGACTTTCAGTAAACCAGTTTCTGGATATGGTGAAAAATTCTTTGTCGTTGATGGTATTGGGCATTGAACTACATGGCAGCCAACATTTGAATAATTTTCGTGTTTTATTGGCGAATTTTCATGCTAGGAGGGCGCGCAACCACGTTCTCTGTTGACTCTAATCAACAGGGATTTGTTCTTGCGATAGAGCTGTTTAGTCTGGTGTGTCTTGGCCACTGTTAAATATAGCCCCTGTTTCTAAGTTTTTCTGAACAAATTCTTCCTCAGAATTCACCAAATGCAACTAATCGGAGGCAGAGACGCATATAATATATGTTTGCTGTATGAAGTGTTTCTACTTTCATTGCTAACTGTAGAGTGCCAGTTGTTATCCAAAAATTTGGAGTTTTATGCATGTTAGGTCTTGAAACCATTTTATAATATTTTTATATAAGCAGAAGATGCATAAGTATAAACAGAGATGAAGCCAGTGCCCAGTCACTGCTAAAGTTATACTGAATTTCTTAAAACAGCAGTGCATAATAATAAAAGTATCCTGCAGCTGTGTCTACATCTGACTATAAATAAAATTTTGATCTGGATGGTGTATTTGAGGAGTTTCAGTCATTGAATGTGAAAAGAGGGTTCCCAGTTTATTCAAACAAAACAAAAATAAAATTAAGCCTGGAAAAGAAATTGATAGTACTTTCAATCTGTTACTTTCATATTTATATGTATGATGGTTGTTGAATGTGGCCACACTTGAAAACACTGCTACAGTGTTTTGTATCGTTTCATATAATTTGGTTCGTAATATGTATGTTTGTGTGCAACCAAGAGTCTTTCTCACTATATAGTATTTGTTTATGACAGACTTGTTTCAGTCCATAGGCCATCGTCGATGTCAGTGACACTTCTGGATAAGGTATAAAATGCTGAATATTATATTAAAATGTGACAAGAAGAAGTCTGACTTCAGAGTGTGACTATTGATTTTTAATATTCACTGGTAGGAGCCTTACTCACTTGGAACATTTTTGTAAAAGCAAACTACTTTCTGGACATTATCCAACATCCCAGATTAAAGAAAACATGGCATTTTGGAGATAGATTGCAATCTCTGAAAAGTATTTTATTTGATCTGGGATGTTGGATAATGTCCAAAAAGTAGTTTGCTTCAAGAACGCACCATCGCCACACACTTTAAGAATTACATTTTTTGTAAGATGAGTGCGCTGGACACAATTTAGACTTCTTCAAAGACTAAAGACTTCTTTGAATTTCTGGAATATGGCTGTGATGCAGTGGTCTAAATTGTGTCTAGTGCGCTCAGTTTTCCAAGTGAGTAGGACCTCTGCCAGTGAATATGAAAAATCAAAAGCCGTAGTCTGACGCAAGAATATTCTTATTCTATTTAAATGTTAAATTCATTGTTTTGTATCATAGCCAGTAGCATTCTTAATGTTCCTGTAGATTGTGTGGCATTTTATGATTCATTTTACACAATTGCTTACATGCAAATGTTACTGATGAACACTTTTACAAGTTGCATTTTATTCTGCTTATTGAATCAATATAAACAATTTTGTAACTGACACTGATGATGGCCTATCGGCTGAAATGTGTTTGTTGTAAATAATGCATAGTGAGAAAGGTTGTTGGCTATACCCAAACATACTGCTGTAATGTTATGACATCTAGCTCTTGAACAGACCACTACTTTGGGTGAAATGTGAAAGATCTGTGTGGGGGAAGTTTTAAAATCTGAACTTCCTGATATTGAATGGGTTCTTATCAAAGCATATCCTTGCCATTCATTTGGTCATATTTAGACCTGATGGTAACCAAGTTTTACATTTTATTGGCTCTGCTGCGTATTGGCCTCCACAACTTCCTTCAAGTGATGTCATGTCTGCAGATACATTTAATTGTAAATAACATGTAGAGCCTGGGAGTGCAATATTAATCCTTTTTCATTATTTAATAATTTTTAAAAGACATTTGAACATCAAAGAAATAAGAAAGTCTCCCCCATTTAATTGTATAAAATTAAAATATATTTTAATTTGATCAGTAGCTGATCAAGTGATAGATTATGGATGGCTAGGTTTCTGGGATTTGTAGCAGTCGTCTATTTTCGTAAAATATGTATTCTGGCCTGCATGAATGAGCTGACCAGCTGTCATCCTATCATATCCCAAGTCCTTAGTTGGGACTTCACCCTAGTAACATCAGTTTTGTGGGTGGACTCTGAATAATGCAACTTTTAGTTGAAGTGTGTTTATCATGTGTTGGGGAAATATTTTTATTATTCTTAGAAACAGCTCAGAGATACATTCATAAGGCCTACATAATATTTATTTCATTGAATTATAAAAATATGATATAAAGTGGTATTTTGCATAATACACATTGGTTGCCTTAAATATTTGTCAAGATACCACATGCTCTGTTTATGCCATCACGGAAGTTACCCTAATGGTAGATGGGTATTTTTTCTAACTTGTAATTATACACAATATACGATTTTCACAGTTAAGCAGTTAAACAACCTGTTTAAAGTTTTTATTTTATATTTATTATTTTTGTTTACCGGACTTACAGGTGTTATGGTTATAATACTGATAAGTTTGATAAAGGTTATTGACCACAAGTTGATGGAAGTTGAGTAAATTATATTAGGATGTCATTGTGTCATATGTTTAAGGGAAGAGATTCTTCTTTTTCTTCTTCTCCTCTTCACTGATTAGGCTCATTAGCCTGTACTGAGACAGTTGCTCAAGGCAACTTGTCCTTATTAGTCTCTGAAGAGTGCATTTGTGAGTAGTGAGTGACAAGCCTACTGCCTCTGCGCAATTTTGTACTTAATCCTGATTTGTCTGCTAGAGCCATCTAGTAGAGAATCGGGGGAGGCATGGGTGAGAAACATGTCCGCTGAATTTTAAGGGTAGAGATTATGTGAATAAATAATATTGAGCTGCCATTTTTGCTACACTTTTAAGTGTACAGACTAACTTATGTAAGTAAATAATTCAACACAATACGCTGCCATTTTTTCTGCATTGTAAGAGTATTTAAAAGTACATTTTGCAGAAAAATGTTAACTGCAACTGTAACATGTTAGCTTCGTGAGGATCTGTGGTAAAAGGGTTTTCTCAATTTAGGACTCTTTAAAGGATATACTGTGTAGAAAATAGAAGGCATTAAAATTGTGCATTTTTATACAAATGAGATTAAAACTGATTAATTCCTTATAACTGGAACTAACCTACAGCTTAGTCAATCACATTATTGATGATTTCAAAATAAAGTATTTTGGATTTCTTCAGTTCGTGCCAGAGGGTTTTTTATGCCAAAATTAGCCTAAGAATGTTCTTATTGGGTCAGAACTTTAATCGGACTAGACAGGACATGTTTCATGTAGAAGTTGTAGTTGCAGATCTTTTAATAAAGGTGAATGTAGTGAACTCCAAAAATTTATTTTTATTATGAGGTTTTGTTTTTCACTAAAAGTGCCAAGATACCAACCCATACTTTATGCAGTTATAATGTTAGCATTCTCAAACATTACAAGGAACACTAAGCGCAGTACTGGTGTGGAATCGTTTCTGTGAATATCAGAGGCAGGCTTAATTATTTTTGTTAATTTAACAATGTTATTCTTGATAGACGTGTTGGTTTAATTTTCGCTTTAATGTTGTGTTTGAAACAATTGTTCATCAATCTGTCCTGTTAATGGTTGGAAGGGACAAACCTTCGCTGCCCTGCATAGTTCGGGTGCTAGCACCCTGTGGAAGAAGCCTGTGTTGCCGATGTTTTATTTGAGTGTACCTCGTACATCATCCCTGATCATCTGGTCAGCAACACAGATCCATGAAAGCTTAAAATAATTTATATCCCATATTTTAAGACATTTATACATTTGTTGTGTATTACATATTTATTTTACTTTTTCACAATATTTTGAATGGGTACCCTTTCAGTTCTAAACAGATATTTATACCTTTTTGGTCTGATTTTTGAATTGCAAATAGGGCGGTAATAATTTTGAGTTATTGCAGTATTTTTTTTTTGTCACTGTGAGAATATTAAGGGGGGTGGAATCTTGTCTTCCTTCAAATGTGAGGTAAGTACCATCTGTTGTTTAATGTTGGAAGTGTGAGATACAAAAATGTTTTGTTCTCTGTCCATACTGGAGTGCTGTTTCAAAATGAATGGATGTGTAAATAAACACCTATGAAGTGAAGCACAGTAGCATTATGTCATTGTTAGTATGCAATTTACTGAAGTATTGCAGACACATTTGGTGTGCTTTATTTCCATGTACACGATATATCATGACATGGTACTCAGGAATGGAGATAATGAAAGGAACCATGCTCATGATTAAGATGGGGTGATTGACTGAGCAAGAGTGACATTATTATTATTTCTTTGTGTCTGCTAACTAAATACATTAGACAAATTAAAATATACAAAACTGTAATTTTATCAATTGTCCTGTGAAACCTGAGCTGTCTTATTA